CTTAATGTTTCATTTTCATCCTTAGGGTAAATTTCGAAGAACAAAAACAGAAAAAAAATAATTATCGGTAATCTTGAATACACGTTATAGTTTACCAGCATTCATTTTTATAAGTAAGAGTTGTTTGGCACTGTCCACATCGGCACACGTATGATAACTGTGTTGAGTGCCAATACTCATCCCCACGGTAATGAGGGAGTCAATCAGAAGGTAAGCCTTATGATGCTCATTTCCCTCTCCCACACACTGACTTGAAACACAGCATCAGAGGCTGTCTTCGTGATAAATAGAGGAAGCAGTGGAGACAAACCTCTAGAAACAAAATGCGACAGACAGGTTGTCAGATAGATATTCATACAAAGCGACAAATAGATGAAGAGATAAAGAGAGAGAGAGAGAGAGAGAGAGAGAGAAGAGAGAGAGGAGAGAGAGAGAGAGAGAGAGAGAGAGAGGAGAGAGAGAAAGAGATGAGAAGAGAGAGAGAGAGAGAGAGAGAGAGAGAGAGAGAGAGAGAGGAGAGAGGGAGCGAGAGGAAGAAGAGAGAGAGAGAGAGAGAGAGAGAGAGAGAGAGAGAGAGAGAGGAGAGAAGAGAGAGAGATGACTTTGGCAGCTGACTGACCAGCGTCTATCCCGACATACAAGTGGAAACTGAGAATAGAACACACAAGACGGACTCCTGGGGTGATGAAGGCTAAGAGTGAAGCATTGTGTGAGGAATATCAAGAGCCATTAACGGTAGCATATGTAGTGGAAAAGATGTGCAGCATTTTTATACCAAAGACCCATGTACTAGTCTCTCTCTATATCACTGAAATTCTTTTTAGGGGGAGGAATGTGACGGAGAATGTCTCAAGTATTTCCTAAAGGAGACTAATGTTTTAAGCAAAACATAATTATGCATAACATTTATGCTATAGTGTTATACTTTTAAAGCATGATATGTATGTTTTATCTTTTATATATTATTAAAATATCTTTCTTTATATTTACTTATAAGAGACATTATTTGCTGATAGATTTTCAAACATTTTAGATATCTAGTAATTTTAATCCCACTGGGCAGTGCCGCTAATGACCTTCGCTGTTAACGCTGGAGATAATTGTCAATAATCAATCAATCCGCCTCGATAGCAAAGCAGAATATTTTTTATGAATATTTAATCAATTTTATAGATATAATATTTTTGGTCAGATCTAAAAAGGATAGCAAAGCAGAATATTTTTTATGAATAATTAGTTGATTTTATAGATATAATATTTTTGGTCAGATCCAAAAAGGATAATTAAAGCCATGCCATATACACATTAATAGAGCGACATACATACATGTACACATTAAAACAGCAACAGACGCACGTGCACACAATCTAGTGGAGAAACATATGCTTGGAATACTTTGATGAATGAAAAGACGATAGTATTTTTGTATTTCAGTTAAATCTTTAGAATATCATTCATTACCTAGAATATATATATAATATATATCTATAAATCCTATATATACTAAATATATCACTATATATACACATATAATATATATACTAATATNCGGCTTATATGTGACTTAGAGTGTCTGACGGCTGTCTTGCCGTGTTTTCCTTCGTTTTCATCTCTTCTCATCCCTTCTCCTTCTCGTTTTCATCTCTCATTCCTTTCCTTCTTCCCCTGGTCTTTCTCTTCTTCTTGGCCTTTCGCTCTCGTCTCCTAACCACTTTAGATTGGAGAACTCGCAAGTGTTGAAGGCGGACGCGCACGCTATCGTGGCCAGTAAGTGATGCGAAGGAGGAGGTAGCGCAGCGAGGACAGCACTCGTTGCGATCTAGCTTGATAGAAGATAGATTTGAGGATAAAGCGCACGCTATAACTTTCTAACCTATAGAGTACGCATAACATTCATACATACGCTACCATCTTATGACAGGTAAGGGCGGCGGTACATAATTGTACTACAGTACATCTACATAGTAACATACATACACTACATAAGTACCATAGCATACGCATATGGCAACATATGTAGCAGTGTAGTCGTGAGCGTGAGCGTCAGCGGCGTGTCACGATGTGGTGATAGGTACAGTATTATAGCGAGGATGGGATTGAGGATTAGTGGGCAGATGTTGCTGAGAGTGGTGGCATTGACGAACATACCATACATACATACATACATTACGATTCCATTCACATACATACATACATACATACATACATACATGCATGCGTGCATACATATATACATACGCAAGCTTAAAAACATACACTCGTTAATGACACACGTTCTTAAAAAACACATTCCACACAACACACACACACATTCAAGGACACGGACAAGCACGCGCACTCACAACATGGCCTCATAATCTCTCATTTTTGACCGTTCGAAAATACCAATTTATGAGCCTTTGACCTTCCTTTGACAGACGGGCTGAGCATTACACACACACACACACACACACACACACCACACACACACACACACACACACACACACACACACACAACACACACACACACACACACAACACCACACACACACACACACACACACACACAACAGAAATGGGGAGAGGGGGAAGGGGAGAAAGGAGAAGGGAGAAAGGGGAGGGGAGGGGGGGAGAGGGAGAAGGTGAGGAGAGGGAGAAAGAGAGAGAGAGAGAGAGAGAGAGAAGAGAAAGAGAAAGAGAGAGAGTGAGTGAGTGCGTGAGTAGGGAAAGGGAGAGAGAGAGAGAGGGAGAGGGAGAGAAAAAGAAGAAGGAAAGAAGAAAAGAGAGAAAGAAAATGACGATTCAGTAACCGAAGGGAAGTCTCAGCACAGCTGCATCGTGTTATCAGCCCATGATGCCCGCGATTCCCAGAATGACTGCAAATGGAAATGTGTCATTTAAATAGTCAACACACATGCATACGGGAACACCACTCATGGCCCACGCATGCCGGCACTTGCGTCTCACAAATGCTCACAGGCTCTTGCATATGCTTAGAAATCACATGCACCCAAACACGTTCTGACAAGCACATCCTCATGAGACGAAAGGACATGCAAACACGCACAAAAACAAGTTTAAAAACACATTCGGACAAGCACAAGCATGCTCACAGGCGCTCGCATATGCCTGCGAATAACACACACCAAGCACACACATGCTTGAAAGCGCACGCCACGCACACTCAGCGCCATATAGTTAGGGACAAGCCGTAATACTTCCATTTGGAGGCTTATCGCGGGGGGGGGGGGGGACTGCTGACGGTGCGTCCGCTGCCTGCCGATGGGTATGTTTCTTTTCTCTGGGCTTCTGGCTCCGTGTCTCTCTTTTATTCGGTCTTGCTCTGTTTTGCTTTGCTTGTTCTTGTCCTTTTCTCGTTGTTTTTGTGTGTGTATTTTCGTTATTTTTGTTTGTTTGTTTGTTTTTCGTGTCTTTTTTGGTTCTGTTTTTTTTAGTCTTTGGTTGTCTCTTTTTTCTCTCTCTTTTCCGTGTTTTTTGGTTCTCTTTTTCGTTTCTTTTCTCTCTTTCCTCTTCTCTTTTCCGGGTTTTTGTTGTCTTTTTCGTTTTTTTTCTCTTTCGTTTTTTTTTTTTGTTCCTCATCTTGTCTTTTTGCTCTCTTTCCTTGTATTTTTGCTATCTCTTTTCTTTTCTTGTTGTTCTCTGTAAGCTCTCGTTTTTATTGTCCTTGTTATTTTTCTTGTCCTTTTGCTCTTTTTCTTATATTTTTTTGTTTTTTCTTTTCTTTTTACTCTTTTTTGTCATTTTTATTTACAGATGTGTATGCTTGTCTCCTTATGTCTGTCTGAGTTCCGCTCTGTCTGTCTGTCTGTCTATGTGCCTGGGTCCCTCTCCGCTCTTCTGTCTGCCTATCTGAGCCCCTCCCTCACATCTGTCTGTCTGAGTATTCTCCCTCTCTCTGTTTCTCTGTCTCTGTCTGTCTCTCTCTCTCTCTCTCTCTCTCTCTCTCTCTTCTCTCGTCTCTTCTCTTCTCTCCTCTCTCTCTCTCTCTCTCTCTCTCTCTCTGTCTCTCTCTCTCTGTCTGTCTGTCTGTCTGTCCTCTCTCTCTCTCTCTCTCTCTCTCTCTCTCTCTCTCTCTCTCTCTCTCTCTCTCTCTCTCTCTCTCTCTCTCTCTCTCTCTCTCTCTCTCTCCCCCTCTTCTCTCTGTCTCTCTCTCTCTCTCTGTTGTCTCTCTTGTCTGTCTGTCTCTCTCTCTCTTGTCTTTCTCTCTGTCTCTGTTTGTCGTCTTCTCATCTCGTCGTCTCTCTCTCTCTCGTCTCTCTCTCTCTCTCTTCTCTCTCTCTCTCTCTCTCTTCCTGCTCTTCTCTCTGTCTGTCTGTCTGTCTGTCTGTCTCTCTCTCTCTTTTCTCTCTCTCTCTCTCCTCTCTCTCTCTGCTCTCTCTCTTCTCTCTCTCTCTCTCTCTCTCTCTCTCTCTCTATCTTCTCTCTCTCTCTGCTGTGTCTCCTCTCTGTCTCCCTCATCTCTCTCTGTCTATCTGTCTCTCTCTGTTATCTGGGTCTCTCTGTCTATCTGTCTCTCTCTGTCTTCTGTCTATCTGCTCTTGTCTATCTGCCTGTCTCTCTCTCTCTTCCTCCCTCTCCCTCCCTCGCTCTCCTCCTCTCTCCCTCTCTCCTCTCTCTCCTCTCTCCTCTCTCTCTCTCTCACTCTCTCTCCCTCTCTCCTCCTCCCTCCTCTCCCTCCCTCCTCTCTCTCTCTCTCTCTCTCTACTCTCTCTCTCTCTCTCTCTCTCTCTCTCTCTCTCCTCTCTCTCTCTCTCTCTCTCTCTCTCTCTCTCTCTCTCTCTCTCTCTCTCTCTCCTCTCTCCCCTCCCTCTCCTCTCCTCTCCCTCTCTCCCTCTCCCTCTCTCTCTCTCTCTTCTCTCTCCCTCTCACTCCTTTTATCTCCCCCTCCAAATAAGCAGATTAAGAAGATAAACCTCCCCTTCATTCTTGTTCATTTCCCTCGCCTGTTTATCTCTTTATCTCCCTCTCTCTCACTCCCCCTTTCATCTTCTACATCTT